GTTAACGATGTGAAATCATCTCAATGTCTAGAGTCTATATTCCATTCTAATTTACTCCATAATTATCAACCTGTAATACAGATTTTCAGGAAATCGAACCAAGATTCTTAGCTTGCTGTATAAGGTTAATAAATTCAGTTGAGGACAATTACAGCTAGTAATAAAACAATAGCCATAAGTCTATAATACTGAATAGAAACTTCCTTTTCATTTCCTAACATACTTTTCCATTAAAAGAGAAAGAGAAAGTAGTAATATCTAAGTTTATTTTATAGTGGAAACACGATATATTTTATTTAATGCAGATATTGTATTCTAACTGCTATAGTGGTTATTGTTATTATCATTGATATATGTTCCAATAAGCAATTTCAATGGCTAAAATTAAAATTAACCCTAAATTTTACTGCATATTTTTGCGTCCAAGATAAATGATGAGCACTCAATGTATAGGCAACAAGAGGAAATTATATTTTAATATTAGCCAGATTGTCATTTGTATAGTGAATGTCTAACAAATTAGACAACATAATAATACTTCTACATTGTCAAGAAAAGAAACTGATATGCAGGTGGTCAATTTTAAAGTAGAAGGTGTGTGAAAATGTGCTACAGTTTACCAACAAAACAACACGTGTAATGCAATCCATGAAACGGCATCAATTTTTAATGAATAATAATCAGTTTTGTACACTTTAACAAAGTGAACTTTTGTCTTGATTATAGAAAGGAATTACTGAGGGATATTATTATTGAGTCTAAGAGAAAGAGTCAATATGCTTGTCTATCCCTTCATGAGCTTTACTCAATGAAAAGCCAAATCAATCAATCAATTATTTCAACATATTTTTAAATGGAAAATGATATCAACATAGGTTGTTGAGTAAGCAACCAACTAACTAACAAGGTAAATGAGTATCTATTACACCATGTTGACCAGGAGTACTGGTCAACATGAGCTCATTTTTGTTAGTTTACCTATCCTCCAGGTCAACACCAATGGTTATCATCTTTATATTTTGGTCATTATGTTATTTCAATACCGTCATAAGTTAATATTTTATAAATCCTATTTGAGGTCAATATCTTGTCACAGCTAGAGATATTGCAATACGATCCAAAGATTACTGTTGAATGAAACTTGTATATTGCACTGATGGCAAAAATTCAATTTGCATTTATACACTCCCTTGGACTAAAATAAATACATGTTTGTACTAATTTTTAATGGGGATAAGAAGTTGATAAGCTCATGACTGGAAGATATTGGAAATGAAGAATTTGTAGCGGCAAAAAAAATTAAACTTTCCTGATATGAAACAAAATAGTGCTCTACACTTATAACATTAATTTCCATCTATCTAACATTTGAAAATTAGTTATTCTTCTTTCCATACAAACTTTCTCTCACCTGTAATTGAAAATAAAATACAATTATAGACTTATTAATAAAAGATGGTCTATCGAAGCAATAAGTAAAACAAAAAAGAATATTGTATAATTTATTACTAAAGAGCATATGTCAAAAGTTATCATATTTAGCGACAGCTGGTTGTTATTCTGCCATGGCATATGGCGATATAAAAATAGTCTTAGAAAATTATGACAACGTCACTATATTAAACATAAATGTATTTCTTTTGATCATTCTATTAACTTCCCCTTAGCGATGAACAACAACGATTAATCTATCATCAGATATTAACTATAGCCAGATGATTTAATAAAATGAACATGGAAGAAAGAGCATTGCTAGCAGTTGATTAGCTATAATTTAAGATCCAAAATCAATTTTCAATCTATAATTTACTTGATTCTATAAGCTAGGTTTATGTACGGACAATTTTCATTATATATAATACACTACGGTAGAATCTATCCAATACTTATGGTGGCAGGCAATCATTCTCATGCCAGCTAGTAGGACTCAAATTGATAAAAAGCAAAGAGATTAACCATTATAAATATTAACTTTTAAAACCTCTTGTCTTGAGCAAGGATAGTATAGAATAGTGAGTAGCCTAATAAATATTAAACATTAAGTTGAAATTCACTGAAAATACAAAGTGAATGATACTTTTCATCATATATTGTTATACAAGAATGCATTCATTACGAGCTAATATAGAATTCTTCATATTTTCAATTCCTTTGCTATTATTATTATTAGAGAATAAACCCCATTCCAATAATTATCATCATTAACATTTCTGCCCTCTTCAATATCATCTGTTCGTACATTAAATCGAATGTTTTGGCAGTTAGCTTTACCTACTCATCATTCATCCACGGTCTTGGTTAGGACAGTCATTGAAGTAGATGCTTTATGTCGTCTATTGCTCTATAGTAGATTGTCATTCGTGATCTATGCATTCAAGAAGCCCTTTTAGTCATCCTATCTTATCAATTTGATAAGCAAATTCGATTAATAATTTCATTCCATAAGGGTAAAAGTGTCCAGCTGGAGAATAAAATTCCTCCATCATAGATATACAGATGACATCAGTAGATGAAATAATAGATGTTGAATGAAAGTATAGAAAATAAAAATAAATATTAAATAAAAACAATATCTTGAAGATGTATATATCCCATACATGAGTTGAAGAACATCAATGGATGATCAATTATTTAAAAGGCACCCCAATTTTTTTATCTTGCATAATAGTAACATACAACGGATAAAACTGATAGTCGCATTTTATTATATTTTATTTTTTTAACAAATGCACCTGTGTATATTTTACTGTTTGATAGCTAAGGAAACAATGATGTAAATAGAATAGGTACCAGACAAATACAAGTGTCGAAATTGACTAGAAGAGAGGTTACACTACAGTTGTAGCTAACATCGTGGGAGTGTAGCCATATATTAGATCTACAAATCAACACATTATAAAAAAGGCAGAATAAAATTTAATTTTTTAAAGGCGGGTTAACAAAAAGTAGTCCTTTTACCTATTTAAAATTGAGCGATCCATGATTGTATCCAGCTGTATTAATTAAAAATTGAAGATGATGCTAATTCAATGATTCCTAAACACTTTACCTTGAACTATGTGTTGCGGAATGGTTGTGTTTCATTCGATTAAGATAAATGCTATTTGTCATATGGATTTTATTGCGTATGACCAGTCCTATTTTTCATCACTCCTCTTTTAAGCCCGAATAGATCGATTTCATTAGCCTGAATCGTTTAGGCTAGCTCGTATTTAGTTGTAAACATTGATATTAACCAATAAAATGGAAAGATGATCTTGCTGTATTTTTTCTCCCTTTTTTTTATTTATTGAAGCGTAATGATGATGATGACGATAAATCTGTACAGAAAGTATTAATACTATTATTACCTATCTATATCTAAATTGTAATATTTTACTAGTCAACAGGAAATCAATTTGATAGGGAAAATGTTTATTACGCTCCAGATGAAGGATAGACTCATGAGTCAATAAGAGACTTAATTCAAGCAGTAAGATCGAATGTAGATCAATACGTCATCGTTTGGATCAATATCTACTGTATAGATTGGAGTGGAAAGAATAAGCTCGATTGTTAATTAATATCCAATATTTTACCAACCAACAGACTCTACTAATCGATACTACCTGTATCGACAGTAGAACTTTCTCTCTCTGCAACAATAACATCCATTAAATCGCTAGCTTAATTCCACACCTCTTTCAATGAGAGGAACAGACAGAAAAGTGTTGCCCAGACGTATGGAGAGATGGATCGAGAAGAAGATGCAACTACAGGCCCATTCCATTTCAATAGTTGTAAATTGTATCGATTTGTATAGCTTACAACTATTGATGTTGCTTTATGCTATGGCAAGACCGCTAAACTATTTTCCATCCTCTTAATCGTTGCCAACTATACAACTCTACTCTCCATCTACTATCCACACACACTATTATTGCTAGCCGGCTAATGACAATAGACAACATTGCATCTGAATGGACAATGAAGCAAAAGTTATTATGCACATTTTGGCATCTGGACAGTACACAATACAGCGCACCTGTAGCCGGATGTATAATTTTTTATTTCATGATATTACATAATACAAAAATTTTTAAATTTAGTGGCACAAATACCCATTGGTACAAACAGCTGCTCTTCATTCCTTTCCAACTTCGCCTATGGTAACACCATCCATTTCTAGCCTTAAATTTACGCCTAATTCCTGTAACTGTTTTGACGTCTACATCAGCTGGTAGCGACTTAAATGATTGATACCGTTGAAAAAAAAGAAAGGATATAAAACCAAACGTCGACACATTATTAGTGATCAAATCTTTTCCCCTTCATCCAGCTAAAAATTGCCTATTATTCTATCCAAGTGCGATTATTATTATCATTCTTAAGGTAAGATTGTACATACTGTAGGCAACATAGTGATAAAGGTCGAAAATTTGCTCGTACTTGCCTTGATCAATATGTACACTATATTCTTCAGTCTTTATTTTCATCGTGGTATTAAAATCATGTAACGGCCTAGCCATCATTTTGCTCCACTAGTATTATTTACATTTCCATCGTTTCATCAATAGAATCAAACCAACTAATTTAAACTACCCGTAGTCTGTCTATCTTTAAATCGTTTTCTACTCTAACCTACAGCTGTTTTTCTTTTCCTATCTAGTGATCGAAAATATTAAGACTTTCATTCTATTACATATTGATTGAATCGGAATTATTCAACTTCAATAGTATTATACTAAATTAAGACATTTGGGTCAAATCAAGTTTTAATACAGTTGGAAAATCGATACCAAATCTACTAAAAATTAACTAATCGACAGCGTACATCTCATGGTCATAATCCTAGCGATAGAAGTAGCAATTCAACCTGCTGTCAGAACCGTCTGTAGACATTTACCAGATCAGTTAAGCCTAATCAAGAGAAAGTAGGCTAGTCGACAGGTCAATATATCCTTTATCTTGCTTATCTTCACTTATTGATATCAAAAGTCGATTAAAATTCACTGTGCAAAATGCGAATCCCTGACTTACAGACTGGACAAGTTGCTTTAAATTACAAAGAATTTTTACAGCAACAAATTTCTCAGCATCAAGCTACATGTCTAACAGCAGAGAATGATGATGAGACATACTTAGAAATTGATCAAGCAATCCAGGAGTTAAAACGCCATGTACCAACATTTCAAGAAGAAACTGACATAACACCTTTTGAAATACTACGCTTAGCTATAATGTATATCGATTTCTTACAACAAACTTTACAAACTACCGACAATCATCAGAGCCAGAAAAGGTGAAAAATTTTCAAATTACAGCAGATCAAATATCGACAACACTATATTAGATGTTGATATGGAATCAACCGCATCTTTAGTATTTTTGTTTTAAACATTTAGTCTCAATTTAAACTATCAGTATAAGTCTATATAATACTAGTATAAAACCAACGATACATAATTAATTTATCTTAACTGCTGTTAAAACGAACTGCTGGATAAAATCCAATCAGAACCTTTGTGATCAATATTTAAGATAGCTTTTAAAAAAAAGTGGAATCATACGGAAATACAATAACGAAAATGATGTTATTCGACAATATATCATATAGCAATGACGAATAATTTGATGTTGCTTGAGCATAAATAAAATATGCTTTTGCCAAACATGTTCTATGATAGCTTGGCTAAACATTAATATATTAACAATTTCTAATTTATTATGCGATAAAATAATATAAAAATCTTTTACACGTGTCTAATCATTCCATTTTCTCCTTCAACACCTTGACTTTTCTCACTCTATATTCTTATTTCTGACTATCAAATATTTCATATCAACATTTTAGATCATAGACTTATTCATACTTGTAAATTCTGTTGTATTCGTTTACTATGGCTGTTAGTTATGTTATTAGAAATATCCATTTGCGCATACTGTATACAAAATACAAGCACAGAACAAGTATATATTCACGATATACAGAAATATATAAACATATTTATATAGATATAACTATAAAACAATAATACATATATACAGAGAGAAATATAGAGAGATAGATAGATGGATAGATGAATATATCACACTAAAATCTACAGTATATTTCATATATATTATACATGTAACCCATACATATATATACTATATAAAGATTATATGGTAGTATCCACATTACTAATCAGTAAACGGCATATATTTGGCAAATTAATATACACAAGAGAAATTATAAACTGTAATCAGTTGGCGAATATATCCTATTGTAAAGCATCTACATCAATACATTTGAACATTCATTAAATGAAAACAAGAAAAATTAAAAGTACTCCGTAATTTAATGTGTTAATAATTTAATATAGGTTAATTTAAAAGTATACTCATTTGATTGTCATATCGATATCAGTGCTTTAAAATCGAAAGCTTGATACTGTAAAGCATAGCAATTTGCTTTGGTGTTCGATATTCTTTAAGTAAAAGTTAATTGTAAATGCCTATCCGGATACGATGGCCTAACAATATCAAGTAGGAATCAGGATAATAGCAGTCAAGTTTTGAATTGTAAAGTTTCAATCAGCAATACTCTATTATTTAATTCACAGTAAAGTAATAACTGCACAATGTCATTTTTGAGAGGAGCATCTTACTTCCAACTCATCAAGGTCAGATAAAAAATTGGGTGAGAGAAGTAATTTTGCTAACATTATTAGTAATTTAAAGATGTTTTCAATTTTACAGATGAGCACACATACATATTCTATACGTGTCATCTATCGATCTCACTATTGATTAAATTAAATTGTATTTGGAACATCTGGCAAAGTAATGATAGAGATTACTGTGAAAAGAAAGTAGACGAAAGTGTCATTAAGCAATCGATATAATTATTATTACTATTAGTATTATTATTATTATATTGGACATTAAAAAATAAATCATATTTAGCAGCTGCAGATAAGATAAGATAGAAATAAAACATTTAATAAAGCCAATAGAATATATGGCATGTATCAGTATTCACTGAATATAGAATTGGAAATAGTCTCAATTCAATCATTTGGTTTTAATCTTTTGAATTTCTGTTCTATGATACCATTCAATTATTTTTATTTTATATAGGTGTGTTATAGATATATGTACACATGAATATTTAGAAGTAATTATATGCACATCTATATTTGTCATGCAAAGGAAATTGAAAAAGTGAAGTTTAGTTAATGCATTTCAAGTTTCTTATTCATCCCATCGAATAACAAAGACATTATAAAATAATGTTGACCTCAACATCTTCTGCATGGATTATTAACCATTGCTTCAGATTGATGGTACGATTATATTAATTATTTTAGATGTTACGCAAAATTTGTAGTATTGTATGATTAAAATAAAAGTCGAAATATTATTCTTTATGGTAAACGGCATTTTACGCAGCAGGTCTTTTGGATATTCTGATTATTTAACTTCTGTTTTCTTTTCACCATTTTCATCCTCAATTTATACGAAGAAATGCAAATCACTATTACTTGATCAACTCATATTTCGCTTCTAAGACTGCTGATGATATAATATATGAATGTATGAACTTGTTAATTATTCATTATGTAGTCGTAATATAATATTTATTTGTAGAAAGTAGTAATCTAAAGCAACAAATTTGATGAGATAGCTATAACTAGAGTAACCTGTCTCCTTTCATAGTTTCTATACGAAAGATTTAAGATCATTCCTTTCCCATTACATGATCACGAAGGTAGCAAGCTACAAAATTAAGTTATCTAGCGATGATAATACCATAAACAAAATACTGAAAGGATAAATTGTGTATCTAAATCTATTCATTTTTTTAGCATTACAAATTGTATTTTAATTCATATACCTAAAATATTATACATAATCTTGGCTAATAACGAACAACTGACAGCAACTACTCCTATTTTACTTCTATAATCACTGACATGTAGCTAGTAGATCAGAGATGATGATGGATGAAATAAAAAATTCATTAACAACTCTATTAGTATTCTATATTGGCTATTATCTCGCGTTACTTTAAAATAGTAACCTAACTTTGTGAATCAAATAAAGCATATGGACAATGATTCTCAAGCTAAACATAATATACTTTCTGGAAATATTTCATTTTTTTACCTAGTTTTTAATTACACGTTTAACTACTATTTACTCGATTTTGGCGATAACTTGATGGTCATCTATCTGCAAGGTATTGTTTAGCCTATGGTCCAGGTGAAATTAGTAATTATATCAATTTTATGTGTTGCTGTTGTCTTTTGTTATAACATCTATTATCCAAAGAGAATGTTATATGCAAATCCTATTGTTGAATCATTCAAGTAGTCGGACCTGACAAATCGCACATGCCTCGTTTACCTGGTGAATTTTTATCATTCATTGAAATTAACAACAATGTCATCCAATTGAAGTATACACTATTTCTTCTTAGTATGACGTATATGGAACAGAAGAGAAAGACAAAATAAGGCAATAGATGGAGTATTACTACCTTTACAGAATAAATGATCTATTCTATTTTAAGTATATAAATGATTGTCGCATTTGTAGGTCAAATTACTATTACCAAGCAATATTGGTAGAGTATTCTTGCAAATAGATCGTACATAAAATTGTCTTTTAAGCCGTTCTGTTACTTATTCAATGCTGCACACTTACGACTCAATAATTTGTAGCGTAGTACTATTTGAGAACTAGTCAAGAAAATATTCTTAGACTATGGAGGACACTGCAAATGATGGTAATTCAGTCTAAATTAGAAATATTTCGTCGAATTCCATTTTCCTCGATCTTCAAATTCGATCCGTTGATTCGTAGACATTGATAATAGGCGCAAATACAAGATTAATGTAATAAAATTCATCATTCTGGATTCAATGAAATCATATATCTTAGAATGAAATCCTGATATGAATATACTTCAATAGCAAAAAGCCATTTAAATGATGTAAAAATTTAATACGTATGATTACCTGTAAATTGCATTTATGCCATGAAATGCTTATAATTAAATAATGCATAAAATTTGATAACAACCGTACCATTCTTCCCTATTTACTTACTCCAATTTAGGCCCGTTAATACAATAAATGCTATATAAGATGAAACTAAGTTTAAACATGAATACATAAAACTTATTGACAATTGATAATAAGTTAAACAAAACTTGATTGCAAAGTTGATTATCTATATTATTAATTTTAAGCTGTTATATATCAAACTGGATATCAATTCATCAAATCTCATATCTATCAGTAAAAATATAATGAATCCATATTCCCAGAATGAAAATAGTATCTACCCTAACAATGACTTTTACCTGACCTATAGACAATTAGCTTATTCTTTTTTACAACCAAGCCAAACAATTCTTAATCTTGATGTCACAAAACAGCTTTGCAACAAGATAACGCAATATACGATCAATAAGTCAATTCCTTGAACCACGTATCAAGGAACGATATCTGCACTATCGCAAACACTTTTGCTCTACTAGCAGACTACACAAAGACTTAAACGCCTCGTATTTTACGTTAAACACTAAGTTGGACAATTCTTCTTTATTTCACGATATACTGCATTTATATACTATTCCTCAATAGTTCATGAGTCATAGTTAATACAATTAACATTAGAATCATTTACTGAATTAGATATTAATTTTAGCTACTGCTCTCTTAATGCAGACAACAGTATTTACGAACATAGACATGTAATAACTAATACAGAATAGTCAGATTACGATATGTCCTATCACGGAACATCTCCATGATAATTTACAGTCTATCATAAGTAAATTACAATCACAATGATTCGAACTGTAAGCAGATGATTTGCATTCCCTATTATAACTATTATAATTTCAGTATGTGTATAAGTGTCACTGTCATAAAAAGTCAGTGCTATATTAAAATACAGTATATCCAAATTAGAAGTTAACTAAATAAGGATAGTCTAACAGAATTATCCTAACATAGTTATTTCTACTGTAATACAGTATTTAACACTGTAACACTTGATTACGTTAAATAAATATGACGAGGAGAGTTTTTAATATTATGACCAAGTTAACATCGATTAAGGTGAACCTTACAATTTTGATTGCAACGTATTTGAACTAAGCGTTGATTGCGAAAACTTTTTTCGTGAATAAACACAACTATTTCGTTTTCTTAACTGCGGTCTATGTTTACTCTACACCAAGGCTACTATATTAGAGTGCGATCGTGATACCAACTCTTGAGATGGAAATATCCTCAGAAAATTTTAATTTAGTTCCGTCGAAGTCCATCTTTGTTTGGCTGATCACTTGAGCTTAACAAAGATTCAATGATCTACGTCATTAACGGAAGTTATTTCTTAAATTGGAAAAAGCTAAGGCAAGATTGAATTAAGCATTCAATACATTATTGGTAAACCTACTACAGGAAAATAATACGTCATTATAAATACACTAAATAACTAGGGATCATTATATATAATAGTACACTATACTTTTTTACGATTTGCAGATTGCAATAGACGTGAGCTAAATAGAATTTTAAGTTAACCTTTGAATTTATGTTACGAGTAGACCTACGGCAGGATAAAACAAGTCTTGCAAAATTACCATAACATACCAAAAGCGAGAATTTTATGTAATATGGTATTTTATTATATCTTGTAAGTAAATTAAAAGCGCCATTAATGTACTATTTAGCTGATTATTTTACCATCACGATACAATATACGGAAACCTTCAGATCTTGAGTGCCTTTGCTAAAAATGAGAAATCAATCGCATTGGCCTTCAGTACGTTATTTGATTAACCTTTACTTTACGACCGATAGATCATACAGCGAGAATAGGATATAAAACATATCATACGTAAAAGCTACTTAAATTGTCATTGTTAAGAAACAGTAGCAAGGGTATCTTACACTTCCTCGGTTTGTTCTAATAATTCATCAACAGTAAAATTCACTATGGCTAGATTGACTGACTACTATTTTAAACATGCACTCTAAAATAACTGTTAAATCATTGAATAATTCATCAAAATAATTGATTAGCTCGATTATTACTATTACTTTACATGAAATAGTAATTTGTTATTAAACGATTAATAGCGACCACTACAGCCGCAAAAGACGTTGTAGAGAATTGCTATGAGATTTACCATCGACTAAGTAGATAATCTATAGTTCAACTCTTTCTACAGATTTGAAGTAGTGATGCTCATCACAGTGGTGACGACATTTATGTAATTGCTGAAGCTGATTCGTTACTTTCTTGGTTATATCAAGCTGCTGCTCCTAACTTGAAAAGATTGTTACAGAATTTGATAAATTACATAAAAATTTGGTAAACGTATTAATTAGTTAATCATTTTCGCTATTATACAGAAGATATATTATATCGGCGATATTTTTATTTTAGGCTAATTAAATTCATTACAATTTTTTGACCTCTCAAACGAATATTGCTATAGCAGTAAATAATTACAGATATATTGGATTATTTTATTGATCCATATCATTTCAACCACATAATTAACCGGATTGACGAAATTTGAAATATTGATAATAATTACTGCTTTAACCGAACAATAACCATACTAGAAATTTATTCCATAAATATAAACTGTTTTCAGGTATATCTAATCTAGCATCTTCGTCAAGATTAATCTAATCGAAAAGATATTCGACTATTGATCAATATTATGTTGAATTTTAAACTTTCTTCAACTGTGATAAATATTGTGTAGTTCAATCCTTAACTTACACATTGTAAGTACAACATAATAGTAATGATAACACTGGTATTGACTTATTTTTCTTATAAAATTATGTTACTTACTAAGTCTATCAATTTTTAAAATATTTTTTTGATAGTAATACTCAAAATTACAATTAGATATTACCGAATAGAATGCATACAAAAGTGCATAAAATGAATCAAGCAGGATTCTCATAGTATACAGACAAGTGCCAACATGATTTTACCTGAGTATTATTTGTTATTAATATTGTAAAAATTTAGGCTTGCTATATCGATATTGCAAAATTCATATACAGTAATATGTCTACCGAGTATCAAAAGTAAAAACAATCGAATATTGATTACGCAAGTTATCTGAGAATCATCGCGAATTCTTTAGCTCTTCCACGAATTCTGTCTATAAGGTAGTATAATTGT